TTTTTTCTTATGGGGTTTCATTAAAGATCGTGTGTATGTTCCACCCTTACCTGCCAATCTCACTGAGCTCAAAGCTCGAATCACCGCCGCAGTTGCAGAAGTGACACCGGATATGCTGGATCGTGTTTGGCAAGAAATTGATTTCAGGTGGGATGTCTGCAGTATCACCAATGGCAATCACATCGAACCAAAATGACTGTTTGAGGTAAAACTTGATTTGTTTTGCTACAAAATGACACCTCAACCGATTCTGTAAGCCTTCTGAATAAATTTCTATACACTTTCAAAGTTGTAAAGTCCTTTTTGAATCACCCTGTATAATGTACCATGAAAATAAAACAAACGAATGTGTTTCTGTTGAAAGACACAGCATGGAAAGAGATAACAAACCACAAACTTACCACATTAGGATTAAAAGGTGGGGGGATGCGCTTGGCCAGCAGATCCTCCCAGATGATGAGCTTGAAAAAGTCATGGCGCTTTACTTCATCAAATCCTCTATAACCTGACCCCAGTCGTTTATGACGGTCCTTCTGAAGCAGCTAAAACAGCACCCAGACACATGCACTCAGGAGTGACAGCAGTAACATGAGAAAGTAATTTAATGAACTAAGAGAACTAGACTCAAATTAAAATACTTAGGAAATACAATAAGCCGTGATGATGAGAGATTTAGAAAATAAAAGGCAAACATACACATGTGTATGTAGAAGTGGAATAACTGACATGCACTGATAAAATAATATCCAAAATACACACTGAAAATTACAAAAATTTTAAACCTGTTATAAGATATGGTAGTGAGACACTACATACACAGCAAACTGCACTGAAATAATAAACACCTTGGCAAGAATGTCACGAGCACTCTCAGAGATCGTAGGTCGTAATCGTAAAGGTCTATTGACAATGCGATCATACATCTCAGCTGTATTACGGGAGTAGAAAGGGGGCAGGCCATATAACATCTCATACAAGACAGCTCCCAGACACCACCAGTCCACAGATCTATCGTATCCCTGAAATAAAATATGACTGGTTAATTTTCTGGTTATTTAATCATTTTAACTGCAGAAGTTATATAGTATTGTATGAGATGGTAAGGTGATCATGAATCAACACTAGGTTAGAATTTGGACTGAATGTTTCCTGTGTTATTCAATTACACTAATTACACTAAAAGGTGAGTAGGTTAGTATTTAAAAAGACAGAAAAATTGAGAATAATCTTGGAACGAATACAGTTAAGTTACGTTACCTCCGAAACACAAGTGTACAGCATCACTAAGAATTTTAATGGAGACAACTGTGACTTATTTCAACATAATCACCCAGCACTCAAATGGAAAGACAAAAACACCTTAGTCAAACAGCCAGAATTCAAACCAATTACCACAAAACAGAAGTCTCAGTCATTACTGCTATATGGGTGACTGGTGAAAGTAAGTCAAGAAAAGAGTTCAAAGAAAAGAATGGTTTCATAGTGAGGCAATTAAGGAATGTTTTAATGGGGAAAAAATTATTTCACAACTATAATAGGTAAGTCTCAAGTTCAATCCCAATAGCCCACATGGGAATTGTGATAGATAAAATGCTACTGGGATGGGTTTCTTTCCAAGTATAATTAACCATTTCCCCCTACCATCTATCATTACAGCTATGCTACACATTTATCACTGTCCGAGAAGTATATCTGACTCCCATGCTTTTTAAAAGCTAACAAAAGTGTATTGTCATCTTAGAAAATAACATGTACTGAAAAAACAAAATGCTTATAAAATTACTTATTACAACTCGTACAAGTACGTTGTTCCTAATGGCTAAAAAGAAAGTTACCAAAATGCATGTTCTTTGTCCAGCTAATGTTTAAATGATCTAAACTGAAATAATGGAATTGCTTATTTTTATAACAAACTTACAAATAAATATACCTGTTGACCAATGAGAAGAACTTAATCAATCTTCTGTTACACCTCTTTGAACTTCACCTTTTACTGACATGTAAAATTTCACTGCAAGAAACACTGAATGATGTGACTAATTTTTTCTATTATTTACACAAAGTTATTTTCACTTATCACAAAATTCACTAGAAAATTAATCACCAAGAATAACAATAAAATAGCAAGCAGTGAACATTTATATTGCAGCATGGTTATTGTTTCTTACATGACCTTTTAATCCTTCAATAGACATAATAATGGTAATAACAACAGATAAAAATTCACATTCATGAACACACTTCCTGCAGTGACTGTGACATCAGGCACACATGCTGAAATGCTACTTTTGCAATTTCTCAATTGCAAAAGTAAAGGATTTACTGATTATTTAAAACACTGGTGTTAAAATAATAATTTTATATATTAATAAGTTAATCACCTCTTTTTTGAGAACTTCTGGTGCCAAATATTCAGGTGTGCCACAAAATGTATTGGTTGTGTCAGTTGGAAACAATCCTTCCTTTGAAAGACCAAAGTCTGTGAGAACAACATGTCCCTGTGAGTCCAAGAGAAGATTTTCTGGTTTCAGGTCTCGATAAATGATGCCATGCGCGTGTAAATAACCTAATGCAGCTGCCATCTCTGCACTGTAGAATCGAGCTCTTGGTTCTGTGAACACACGCTCTCTCTGCAAGTGGAAGAATAACTGCAAAACAAATTACAAACGTCAAAATTTAGCAACTTTAACCTCTTAAACATCAACCTGAATTACATGTATGTTCTGCACTATGTTAACCAAAATATGTACTCAAAACACTGCACAGTATTAGTATGAAGTATATTTTAGAGTCAATATCATATAATTATCACTGTTATATTTAATCTCTGTAAAACAAAAAATGTTTTTTGTGTTGTCACCTTTCCCTTTTTTAGCCTACTATCCTTTCTGAAGGAGAGAAAGTAGGTTTATGAAATCACAATGTGTGTGTCCAACTCAATTTTTTAAGTCGCTAACATGTTTCATGAAATATGGTATAAAGTTTATCAGAAGACAATTCAACTTTACACTTCTTATTCTTCTGCAAATGGTAATAGATCTTTTGAACCTACACATCTTTTATAAAGGTGATATTATGTACAATGTGAAACAATATAACAGCTGCATTAAGTCTATATTTAACTCACTTTGGCACTAATAACACATGAGCCACTGGAGATAGGAATTTGAAATTTGGTATGAAGAATGATAATAATCATAAGATACCTACAAATTCTATATGGACTACCATTTTCAGATAACAATCACAAACACAGCAACAATGCAAAAACGTTGAGATAAATTTAATATAGACAGATCTGTTCGTATGTAATACATTCTTTTGAAAATAAAATAATAAGAGCATCAACATCAATTATAATATTAGTTATGACCAAACACTGCAGTCAACTGGTTAGTACTCCTGCTTTATACATATGAAAGATCATGAGTTCAAATCTCAGCCAGCAGACCAGCAATCGTAACAAGTTTCTTACAGTTTTTCTGAATTCCTACAGGAAAATTCTCAGATATTACCATAATAGGCCATGACCATTTCTGTTCCAATTCATTAATCTATTCCATTATTCAATGCTATATCTCTGGTGCTCAGTAAGAAGGGCATAAGTCAATATATATATTATATGTAACTTAAACCAATATGGTAATATGCCATCAATCTAAGCAACTGAAAGCATCATAAAATAAACCTTAGAATATGTAATAATCTGTAACATATTTACAACTGCAAGCAACAAAAAATGACTCCACACAAATCCAGCATGCTAACTCATGAGCTACATACCACTTTACTGTTGGATTATAAATTTGGATCATTTAAATTAGGCAACAGTACAAGATTTGAAGTAATGAAGATATGGAATACGGAAGTACTGAGTTCTCTCTGGAACTTCTTATTCTGTTCTTCTCATCACATGATGTTAATTTGTGATGGTCAAGTGTAAGATAAATGTTTCCATGCTTGTCCATCTAATTTGCTTAGTTTCTTAGTTAAGTTCATGATGCCTTTTCTACTGCCCAGGTTATACAGCAAATGACTATACATAATAAATTAGGAAGTATCGTAGCCTATTTAAGACTGAGGAAAACCATAAAAACTCAGCAGGATAGCTGAGAATTAATCCAGGTACTTCCTGAATATGAAGCACTGGCACTGCCCACAGATAGAAGAGTTGGCAAGATAGTTTTAGTGGAAAACAGGTGGCCTTGAGCATTCTACCACCATCTCTGAGTAACATCAGCTTTCGCTTGAGTTGTACAACACAGACATTAAATATGTCATAACAACACACACTCACAGTTGTTTTGACATGTATAACAGTGACAGGCGGTGCAATAAAACTGCCTCACCATTTCTCAATCCGTGAACAATAACTGCCATGCTATCCTGCCATTTGGCCCATCTTTGTCTGGTCTATAATTTCCAGTCCACAATTTCTGTCCATGCATGTCTACCCTCACTTGTTCCATCCACCATGTTTCTGGCTTTCCTTGCTTATCTTTTCACATTCTTTTTATATCTTGATAAATAGCCATAATCAATAAAGGAACACTGACAAGTAGTCAGTTTATTTACATCATGATACAATGCAGACAGCTATTCTGTCAGATTATAATAATGAAAGGGTTAAACTATGAACTGCACATATACCTTATTATACCGGGTCTACAATTTATGAGGATGTGGTCGTGCTTGGAATGAACCCTAACTATCCAGCCTACAGCCATCCACTTACTGACTGTGCTATCCCAGCTCATAAATGAGTACATAAGTAATTACTTATTATATTTGTTTCTTTTGTTATGGGAATTTTTCAAAACCGAAAAGTAACATTACAGGACTCTGTATATTTGGTAGAACAATTGTCTACATTGCTCAATATGCTTTATTTGCAGTGGAACTGTCTCATCCACAACAATAATAGGGGTATCAGAGTATTATTTACAAGCAAACATTACCTCTCCACCATTGATGTAATCCAGCACAAAGTACAACTTGTCTGGAGTCTGGAAACTGTAATGCAGACCCACAAGGAATGGGTGATTCAGGTTCTTAAGAAGGACATTTCTTTCAGACATGATGTGTTTTGCTTCATTCCTCTTCATGACAAGACGTTTGCTAAGCACCTTCACTGCATAATGCCTCCGTTCAGCTTTGTGCCTAGCTAACAACACCTTACCAAAGCTCCCCTTCCCAATGACATGCAGAAATTCAAAATCACTTGGCTTTGCACTGTGGAGAAAATATGACAATATTAGGACTACGTTGTGCACAAAAAATTGAATGGTATTATTAAATAGCTGAGGATGAAAGAGCTATGGAGAGTTGCTGTAGATATTTTGAATACGCAGTCACAGAGCTAATAAGGGTGATCCTCAAGCTTGGGGGATGAGCAAACTGTGGTTGACACTTTTACAAAAGTCTCAGAATGGGACAAATTTCATAAGTGACATTTAAAAACCCTAAAAACCACAGAAGAATTAAATAAGTTGCCTATTTACAGTATTATATAATAAGGACTGCCAAGAGTTATTTAGATCATGAAGTACTGTTAGCATAATTTTTAATACATTATAATTTGTTAGGCATCTAGCTAGTATAGGGGAGGCAAGGAATGCATATTGAATTCTGATGGTGAAATGGCCACTTGGAAGACAAGGATACAGTTAAGATAGACCTTAGGGACTGTAAGGATCAAAGGTAAATAAAACTGTTTCTACATCATGTCCAATGATTATGGCCATTAGTACTACCTTCCACTTCTACTACCAGAATTATTTATCATTATCATGACACTACTATGATGTGATTTGCTTGTACATGCAAGAAGACAAACTCAGAACTTACGTAACAAGCAGAGATGTCCACATATCTAATATGTATGACAGGAGTCTAAACGAAGAGTGGCTCTAACCAGCAAAGATAGGAATTGAAAAGTTTAACAAAATCTGCAGGACATATTGCATGATAAGTTAGTTTGAAGCTAACACTGCTGCAAAGTGGCTGGCTGATGCAGGAACCAAGTTAATGCATGTGTGAATGTGTTACAGCTTTCCAAGACAGATGATAAGTGAAGAACTTATGTGATCAAAAGTGTTATCTGTTTATGTTTTTTGTGAGAGTAAAATTAGCGCCAGTGAAATTTTTTAGCACAAATTTCCAGCCCAAATGTTGTGTTCAAACTTACTGGGATCTTTCTGAGGGTCCAAGGTTTAACTTATCATTGCTGTTATTGACATCACTACCTCCAATCTCTTCTTCACCATCTTCTACACTTCCATCTTCTGAACTAAGTTTACGTCGATCCAACTGGAAGAATTCACGAACCTCTGGCCTGCGCAAGAGAAAACTTTTTAACAAAACACAAAAAGTAAAGACTGCAAAACTACAACATATGAGGGATTCTTTTGGGTTTGTGCAAAGTTCAGTTAATCATGGAAGTTGCAGATGATGATTCTTCAACAAATCAGACTGATCTAAAAGTATAACCATAGCTTTCAAAGATCTATTATCACACAACATTGCAGAACCATACATGAAGTGGTATTAGTGTTTGTATAGCTGCAATTTTGCTGTTAAAAGAACAGAGGGAAAGTAACATGAGTAAACATTATTATGGAGGTCAACCACATGGATGGACACACATGCAAACATATTAATACCATTTTACATAAGGAATGGAAGCTAAAATTGAACTAACCCAGAGCAAATATGATGAAATTTTATTTTTACCATAAAAACATGAATTATTTCATAACCACCATCAACTACAAAACAGACTGACTTGATATGTTTCAGAATTCCCACATTCCACAAGACATTTGTTACCCCAAGATACTTTGCCTGATTGTCACTAAAGAGTTAATGGATGGTAAAAATAGCAAGCTGTAAATAAGTACTCTTATTCACAACTCTGTGCTAATGAACTTACAACTGCCGAAATCTAGCATCTGTCATGATCTGCTGGATGAACGAATTAAGCCCTTCCCGTCGAGACTGCACAAACTGTGGATCCAAGTTGTTTCCAAATAGCTTCTTGCCTGGAAGTTTCAGTTGTACACTGGGAACCTGAAACATATCATGCACAGTAAAGTAAAAAGTAAAGCTGTCCCACTATACGCCATGTAGGTGATGGACAGCAAATGTGATAAAGATAACTTATTTCTGTGTTCTCACATAATACATTCTGATCATGATGATCAAATGCATAATTCAGCTCAGGAAAGATTTTATTAAGAAACATAACAAGAAGTTCTGGACAGAACTGTCCTTAAATTACTTTACTCTATACAAACAGAGTAACAAAAACTAAAAATTGATATCTTTTATGTGGTCATACACTTCTGTACACAATTTCCACTAGCACAGATTCAGACTATGTCAAACTTGCCAGAGATAACCTCAATATTTCAGTCACTCTTTTTGCAACTGTTCATATGTAAAACACGGTTTTAAACAGAATTCATAGGTATAACCTATTCACACAACAAATTTCATATGTGAGCCAAGATAGCTCAATCAGTAAATTGACTGGGCATCAGCTAAAGGACTAGAGTTAAACTGCAAGCAGGTACAAGAATTCTTCTCTTCACCATGACATCTACGGCCCACCCAATATTTTATTAAATGGACACAGGGGGCTCTTGCCAAGGGTGAAGTGGTTGGCTGCAAGTATAAAGCTAACTAGTCTACTCATCTCCGTCTAGAAACTGCCAAGGTTAAGAATATGTTAAACCTTACCTCCACAAACACATAGCATGGAAATGAGAGTTTAGCTTTCCTAGCTCTAATGCATCATAAATGTGTCATAAAACTGAATGCTAAATACACATTTTGTTTTACCAGCATGTTGTTTTACATTCTAATAAATAAATAAATAAAAAGCTGAATATTTTCTAACACCTGTCACCAAACAATTTCAAGGATTTATGTTGGTAGTAGCACTAGTGTCACTCCCATCTCAGAGGTTTGCACAACCACCATGTCAGTATTACTGAGTGTAGAAAATTATGATGTACAAAGGTGTAGTGACCTCTAGGGGCATGTAACAGGCCATGTTTTATGAAAATTTGTCAGTTCCAACAATGATCCTGGATCATGGAGGCTGCCTACTTCCAAAGAAAAACATGACAGACATGGATAGGTCAATAACGTGTTATTTGCTCATGCTAGTGTGTGAAGAACATCTAAAATGGGGAGGGGACACACTGAACAACTGACTAAGCAGCTTTCTTAATCCTTCACTTTATGATGCAGCACATGAACAAAGGATTTTTTAATATGTTATGTTAGTTATTCGGTTGTTACATGATGGTGTTCTGGGTACAGTAAGGTGATTATCTGAAGATAAATCAGAAGACATGTAGGAGACAGTTGGTATAGCCAAGAATTCAGTAAAACCACAAAAATCCCCAGCCAGGATAGCCTGTCCCTGGCTGGAATTTCAAAAAAGTACCTTCTGTTTCCAACTATAAAGCATTACCTCTGCATCATCATGTTCACTGAGATATAGCAAGATTACACAGTAGCACAATCTAGTTTAAGTGGTCATTTATACTTTTATTATACTATTACTATAATTGAAGTGATGACCATTTATTCATGAGATTTCTACTTATTAGAAAAATAGTCTCATGTTTTGCAGTTATGTGGGAAATGACGTCAAGAGGTCATGCGCTGCTTTAAGATATCACCTTTATCAACCTGGAAAAACCCAAAACAAAGAGATAGTTCATGCAGACATTTCAATTATGAAAAATAATTGCAATGCATAGGCTATCATAGTCCAAAGGATATTATAACAGTCTACAAGTCATGATTCTTGTTTCTTAAAATATGTATTCAGAAAGTTGATCACTGAAATAATTACAAATCTGTAAGGCTACCGAATCAGAATATATTTCAACACACATACACCAACTCAAGAGTCAATACATATTTTCTAAATGTGTTATTTGCCAGTTGGCATAACTAATTGGCCTTCATGTTAATTTATTGCAGATATAAATTCACTGTTGCAAAGCACATACATGATACTGCATATTTGCAGAAATTGTTTCCTTGTATTTAAAATCAAAGTTGTGGATTTCAATTATATCTACATTTTATGTACCAGAAGAGCCATTCATTTGATAAACCAGATTGAGAAAATTTAATTCAATATGAATGTCATGTAGAATAGAGTTTATAATGAAATGACATGGACAAAAATCTAACTTTATTGACAACTTTTAGTGTAAACTAACAGCACCAAAATTTCATCTATTTGCACTGAGTGGGGTAAAAACTACAAAATGAATGTTGATGGAATAATAAAACATTCTTGTAATGTGCTCATTTTATGCATACAATTCAAAGAATGCATGATTGTACAGTTTCATAAACTGAACATGAAGATGGATGAACATACATATACACAACATTGTGTTCATTTTACATCTTTTGTACAAATAAAACATACAAATTGGGCAAACTGATAACATCATACACATAAAATTCAATTGCAATTATAATCAATTACCAGGTGACTTGTTAAAGTTAAGTGTACACATCAATTGGAGAGATAAGCCCCTAAAAAGTAAACATATAACACTAATCTCTGATATTTAATACAAAGGAATCTGAAACTGGTATTATAATGCTAGGAAAATGTACAAAAGATAAAGAGTGTAAATCTTCACTCCTACAAAAGCCCGGCAGATTATGTTTATGATTATCTTATATATTATTATTACAAAGAAATCAGTCAGAAGATAAAAGAAGTATTAAACCACTAGAAAATGTGATGGTAAGTTTTAGGATCCCAAAAAATTAAACCTGGAATCAGGATAGTTCGATCACTGAAGCAACTGGCTATGAGCTGGATAACTTAATTGGGATTTGATTCCCAGTTCAGGCACATATTTTTCTCTACTACCACACCCAGATCAATTCTACACACAACCCAGGGCTACACAGTAGTCAAATGGACTTGACTATAATAAGAAATCAAATTAGTAATAGGATGTAATAAAACTAACTGAATATCACCAGGAGCTACACTAAATATTTCTACAGGTTGCTTCCATCTCATGGGCCACAGTTTGTCTGCTCTTGACATAGGTCATAAATCCTCAGGTGTGGCCAACTTCACCATATGCAGCCACAGTCATTCTTGCATGTAGCAACCAACAACTTTCATGAATGACAAATACCAAAAGTAAGAAGTAAACACATTAGAACACTTACATTCATTATAATCTTGGGATTTATTTCTTCCACACTTTTTGAACAATCTCAACATCTAACTGTATTTTTAAATACTCAGTGACTGAGCAGTTCACAGAATGTCTGGTGATTTCACAAGCTCATTCCCATTTAGGAATGTCATATGAACATAGGTCCAATTCTATGGATAATTTGAATTCAAGATGAGTTGGACTTATGTTCACATGAAATGCCTGATTGGGAATGATCTCAGAAATAAGATCTTGAAATACTCACGTAAAGTCACCAGACATCCTGTATCATGGCATGTCAAAGTGTCCCCTTACACTCAACATAGTAAACACTGTTTTAAGGATAACCATTTCAAAGACAATGAGTTGGACAGAACAGGTAGCACACAGGGAAAATATTACTTGAGAGTCATATTCACAGACAGTAAGATAATATTTTAAAAAAATGATGTGAGGGGGCACACTGATTTCAACCTGCTCAGAATAGGATCCAGTAACAGACTGTTTGAACACAATAATGAATCTCTGAGTTTCATATTTGTGGAGGGGAGCTTCTTGACATGTTCAGTGACCGTCAACTTCTCAAGGATCTGCTTCATGGAGTCAGGGTATTAAAAGTATTTAAAATAACTGGTCTGGAAGCGTAACAGTCTACAAGCAGCTTTTTGTAAACACAATAATGAAACTTTTGGTTCCATAACCACCTAAATAACTATTAACTGTTCGATAAATATCCTATGCTATTGAGTCTGTTTACAGTGATCTAATAGATATTATTGTATTTTATCAAGAAGTGCTAAGACAAACCAATCATGTGCAATATCTGAAATGCTTCAATCCATACAGTGAGATAAGAAGGTACAATAATAATACAAGTCAGTAATGTATTTCTCTCTATTACTTCCACATTAAATGTTCCATGTACAGTTTTACCTCAAACTTTCACTGTCACCATGTTTGTAACTGTTGACATATGAAAAATGTTTCATATAAAATTTGTACATATGCAGTCTGTATTTACCTTTTGATTCAGTATCAATTACTAATGAACCATGGAAAGTAAGCATGCAAAACTCTGTTTAGTGATGATGAAAAATATGCAGTAGCTATGTCATTTTAAAAAAAAATTGCCTGAACAAAGTTGCTTATTTCAGGACTTTACATTAAGTGCCACCAATATTAACTTCTAGTCAGAAGTTCAAACGACTGCTTTATCAATGTAAATGATAATAGGAATTTAAAAAATTATAACTGGAATGGTCTCTACTGGCATGATGATCAAGAAAATCTGATAACTGGTTCACAATATTGGGAGCAAGAGGAAGACACAAAGACATGACACAAAAAGTTTGTGTTTAATGTATCAAAAGTAAGTTAAGAATCCTTCAGTTCTTTTACATTGTTAGTGCAGATGAGTAAATGCTTACGTAAACTTCCAATCAGCAACATAACAAAACTGTGAACTAAACATGTCACTTAGCTCAAACCAATTAACTCTGTTTGATTTGCGTTTAGGTTCTCAACATAATTCTCAGTGATCTGACAACAACACTATTCTATGAGATAGTCCTCTTGAATAAATACAGGGCAAGTCTAAATGATGTTCCCGATTTGAAAGACATGCTACTCACGTTTAATGAAATTCAGATTAACACATCTACATCCTGTGCAGTCAAACATGCACAACTTCACAGAGCAGAGACCTTTATGAGACACTAACAGTTGCTATGCTGGTGAAGAAAATTCTGTGTCTTTAAGGAACATGTTCATTACCACATTCAGAAGAGTGTGACATTGGACCCTATCTGAATCCTGTCAAATCCAGTCCACATAATCACACCATGTTCCTTT